ATGCTTAGCAAGAGGTCAAATGGGGTTCAACCTAGGCATTATGCAAGGTTCGATATTGAGGCCATGATGTTTCATTATCTTTATCAATATTTACGATTCAAATTATTGCTGTTACCATAGTACCTTTCAAATTACTTTCACATAGTTTTCTGTCACTTGGACGCTTCATTATAAACTGCAAATTTGTGTGAGCTAATGCATGGGAAATATATCGTTTATAATAGTCAATTGGGCACTTTGCCATAATGCGACATTTGTCTTTAACAAATAATAGAGTTTCTTCTGTGACAAAGGCTTGCATTCAAACTTTAAAAGCCTTAATTTGTAACTAGTTTTACTCTAAAGACGTCCTATTAGTTTAACAGTAACTAAATTATTGACCAAGGGTATGTGTTTTTATTTCTTTGGTGGAATGCAAATAATCAATTTTTCTGTATCTGAATTTTTAAAAAAAGACTTCACTGCGTGAGTTGACAATTAGTCTATTTAGCATTGGAATTCATGAGGTCAATGTCTTGTGAAATATTTGTAAGATACTAAACAAGAGATAGCGATAGTGCATGTACCTTCTATAGACAGGTTTTTTGTCAATAAGACCGAGTAGAGATTCACCATTCAGGTGTGACATCAAAAATACCTGTACAAAATGTCCTCTTAATCAGTCAAAACACAGTTAATAAATCTAAAAGTGTACAACTTACATTGCAGTCTCCCTTGATATTTATTTCTTTTAAATTCACAATATACTAATCACTTTAAATAAACTTTCTAGACTAAAATATCCACCAGCTAGTTCTAACTTTTCGCCATGTTTGTCATAGGTGTCACTCTGTCAAATAAAGCCTCGTTCTCGACTATATATAGGTCACAACGCAGGTAAAAGCTTGAGTGATTATAGTCCAGATTAAGATTAAGATAATCCTACGATTTCACAAAAGTTATTATAATTATTACTAGTGTTTTTCTTTGAAGACGGTTTTCCCTTTTAACTTTCGTAATGATCATCAAATATTCTTCCTGGTTTCGGTAATTTTATGACGGGTTCTTTCAAAAAAGTGTCATCATTTGTCAGCTATGGGCGTGGCCTATGGCATTTCCTTACCTACACAATTATTTAAGAAACTGCACCCTATTAAACTTATACAAATTCCAATTAACAATTATTACGACATTCGAATGAAATTATTTGAGAAGAAAAAATAAAAGAATCTCTAAAAAAGTTATACGGAATTGTGTTGAATTATACAAAACTAAGCCCTACTGAAATACCTCGACACTTACTGTCAGAACAACCTGAATCGATTTTAATAACATTTTCCAAAGAGCCACTGGTAAAAAAGTGAAATTCGGTAATATCAATATTACGAAATGGTGTGATACAAGAACCATTGTTTAGTCCTATCTTGATCATGAAACATGCAGATGACTAAATTTCCATGAACAATGTAAAGTGAGTAGACAGAAACATTTGACATTTGTTACATCATCTAAAAACTCATTTCCAGTATGTCATTTTGTCATTTTTTCAAATCTCGCCGATAATACCCACTATAATCTTTATTCCTTAAAAAATAGAATTGAGGGAAAAATATCACGTTTAAGATTAGTTTGTTATTTTGAGTGTGTGTAGGGGGCGGGGGGGGGGGGGAGAAGGGAGCCTCGGAGGAGGGGGGTTATTAAATGGTCATTGTACGCTTATCATTATCAATGAGATATAAGAATCAGCTGTACAAATAAAAAATAAATTCGGTCAAAATGATAGACTGTCATTCTTTAAACAGGATATACAAAGAATTAAGTCAGTTAATACTGCACCCACAGCAAACCAGTTTAAATGTTTTACTGTTCAAATGAAATGAAAATGTATTATAACTATTATTATTATAACAATTGCATTGTGCAAAACCCATTTATACGTATAAAGCCATTTAAATTTCACGATATAGCAATTTAACTGTAGCTAAACTTTTAAATAAAATTACCAATTACTTCCTGCTTTACTACACAGTTTTGCAAAAATGAAATCAAATGAATGGAGTTTTACGATCTACTTTTCTGCACCATGTGGGCTAATGAAGACGGACAACGCCATGCAGAGTACAATGAGGGATATTTTGTCAGGACAGAGGCATTAGAATGCTTTTTTTCAATTTACAACTGTCGAGGCATCTTTAATGTGCACAGCCTGTAGCACACGGGACCTCGGTTTATTGTACCATCCGAACGACTAGACGCTTTTTCCTGCATTACTGACATTGAGAAACCGGGATAAAAAATCCGAAGGTCGAGCTATGCCGGAATTGAAGCCTGGACCTTCAGGTTAGCGAGCAAGTGAGTAACTCACTGAGCCACCGCAGCTTACTATACAGTTTTGAAGATCAGTAGCCCAACTCTAGCGGGGGTCAGTGGACTTAAATGAGTAGGAGCCGCTCCCACGGGAATGTTTTTTTAATGCTCTTCTGCCCTTTTTCTGGGGATGGGGCCCCACTTAGTGGTAAGGGACTTTGGACTTCGGACTTGGTTCAACAAGTCCCTATGGTAGCAGTTGAGCCACTGTGAAAGATCCGTAATGTGATACTGTGCCAAAAATTAAAAGAAGGATGTAAATTTCCATTTTATTTTCTATTTCAAACAGCCGAGGGCTCTTTAAAGAATATACCTACTGTGACATATTGGGTTTTGTTTTTTCTGCCAATTCTCAAGATTGGATCGTAAACTATAAACACTAGCATTAATGTAGATTGTATAGGCATAAAAGTAAATGTCAGTTATCACAATGAATATGATTTAACCAAATTGATAATGTCACAGGACTTACATGTTTTGGGTCATTTTTGCTTAAACCTACACATGTTCAAGATAAGTTAGATATTGTATGCTTATTTTGCAGAATTACCTTACAGAATCTGTCGAAATTTACAGTTCATTGATGGTTATTTCATTAGATATATATTTATTGTATTGTTCGCCCTTTTTGGGCAGCATACATCATGATGCAAGATAATATGACAGAATTAATTACTGTATAGTAGGTTTTTGTATTTGGACACTCCCGTCGAGACATAACTATCTTACAGCAAAGCAATTAATATATAGAGTAGAAGTTTATTTGGTTCAAATTTGTTCAAACTTCGAATTTTTGATATAAATTGAGCAAGACTTGCCACTCCAGTCAATGAACACTGCCAGGGCTAGATGTGACAATTTTACTGCTCGAATTTTATATAACTTGGAATGTCACACCCTCGGGGTCAATTGGCTTTGTTAGCTCTAAATGTCAAAGCAGTGACCTGATCTTTCATTATTTAAGTTTATTTTTCAATTGAGGAGCAATAATGTAAAAGCAAATAACTGTGAACAGGTGCCCGTTGTTCTTAGAGAGTACTCCTTTTATTTATTCTTGGCATTTTGAATCATTTTTTTTATTGTCATGCTTTCGCTGACGTTCAAAGAAAGGCCGTAAAGTCTTAGTTTTCATTTTTGTTATAATTTTTGGCAAAAAAACAATGTATTTCACTGTTATGGTTTAAAGCCAATTTTATATTTGAAGGTAATTAAGTCTTTTCTGTAATTCACAGTCATAGTCTAACAAATATTGGAATAAACCCACTCCAGTCCACAGTCAGACTAGGTCTTTATAAACTTTAAAAACTTCGTGTATTGTCAATAATATACTTTATCATTTCAAGTTAATAACTCTTTCTATGTCTACATGTCCTCTTAAGTTATCTGATGAACGCCTGTGTGTAGTATAATATAAAAGGAATATAGAGATATATATATATACAGTATAAGGCAATTGTATACCATCATTCTAGGTCATGAGGCCACCGAAAACTTGATAAGAGTCGCATTTACATTTATTTTCAACAGCTCAATAATTACTTAGTTTCCGCCCCACTTCTTGTCCCTTGTCGTAAAACCCCTTAACCTTGATTGAGATATTTGAATAATAATAATCGTACTTACATTCAGATTCAAAGTTTTCTTCAATTTTCAGCCGAAAATTGAAATAGTTAAAAATTCCCTTATTACTGTCAAAGTATGTCCAAATACAGACGACAGTTCATGACGTATGTTGAGATTTCATCCAATGGAATTCAACGTACTAAAATGTCACCCACAGGGAAACCTCTCCCTTGTTCGACCAAAACTAATTGCCTAATTTTATCACTTCAAATTAGTTTATAACTTTGAGCTTTTGAAAAATTCTGATGAGGACTTATAGAGGCCAAATGATAATGTTATGTCATCAGATCATAATCTAACTATTATAAACGGTGCATCGTGATTGTTTCACTAACGTTTTCAACTTTGCAGAAACTGTTGCCGGACGTAACTTCTAAAGTCCAGATGGTCAGGTGGGGTAACAGTTTACAAATGTCAAACGGATGTGACGATTGAGATTTTAAATTAAGTCTTGAAGTGATTAATTAAAGACTTTATTTAAGTCTGTAATAAATAATGTCCCGGTGGTCAAGTTTTTTTTTCGGTTGATCCGAAACAGCATTATTCTATATTTCCAAATTCTGGGTGTGGTTCCAAATACTTGTGTTTAATCAACAGCTGGCCTCCACCCTTTATGATGGTCGCTTATATGTCATTAAAATACGGAATGTGAATGAAGGGAGATAATCAACAATCTATTAAGAAATCCAGATCACTAATATACCTAAATATAAATGTATAAAACAGAAAAACAATCACCAGTTAAAGTTTTATGCAATGTTCTGACGTGTTTTTAATAATCTGAAGGAAAGGAATTATTCAAAGTTGTTTTGTTCTAAATAAAAAGTGACATGTAAAATGTTTGATCACTATAAATCTTAGTAGTATCCATGTCCAATGTAGATAAGATCCCCTTTCATCAACTTCACAAAACAATTGCATTGTGTATAATGCCTCATTTGAATAGAAGGGCCAGGTGCGCCATTTTCAGAGGTTGATTTGGGTCTTGAATATATGTAAATAGTCTTCAGAAGAATTAGAAATGTACTAAAATGGTCTCTACTTGTAATTTAGGTCAGTGCTTCTACAGGAGACTATTTCTAATAACATGTTATACCAACTTCATTAAGGTCAATATTCAACATTCTCGACATTATAAAGAAGAATAATATGCATTATTACAATCCAATGATATATCTCTGATCTGTGTTATTTTCCATTCAATTACAAACTGACCCTTGGAATGTAAATAACCATTGTTTTTATCAATAAGTTCAGGCAGGGAGGATACGATACCAACCCCACCTACAACTACCATGAATCTTTGATTCTACTTTTCTATCTGTATCAGTTAAAGTGTTACTGTCATCATCAATATTCAATACACTGATTTGACCATCATCAATAAAACAGTTTAATCCAGGATTGTCATCTGGCAATAGTTTCATTCCAAAAAATAGAAAATCGCAAAACCTTAATGCACTATTATTAGTGTTATTAAACTTGTCTTGACTGTAATACCATTCACGATCCGTCTTAATATCATTTATATTAAAATGAAATTTATATGAATTGGACTCGAGTAGTTTGTGTATGAGATACAAGATACTGGACCTCTGCACAATTCTTCCAGCCCTTTTATTTTCTCGAGTGAAACTACAATTTGTAAGCTACAATTTTCTGTTCAAGAAGGAAAGGAAAATTCGTCTCCAATTTCAGCTTGAAATCTTTTACATCTCTCATAATCCTTTGGCCAATTATAGCCACTTTCCATTCAGATTCTTCAGACTTATTTATGATGTCTGTCATGAATATCTCACTGCTAGCCTTTATATCTGCTATAATTTTCTCAGTTTGTTTGGTTATTCTGCTACAAGCGTCTTCAGTCAATGGAATTTCTTTCTCTCTTCTACTAACGTCGCACGAGTTTCTTTTAAGTCTTTGATTTTTATTTCAAATTTCTCTGAGGTTATAACAAGCCCGGTAGCGTTTTCTCTTGCAGTTTCACAATTTACATCCAAGTACTTGTGACCTATGTATTTCAGAAAAAAGTTATGATATAACACACGGTGAAAAGTTAGACAATAGCAGTCTTTGGTCTAACGTTACGTCATGGACAGTGGTATTTTACATAAAAAAGGCTTTGTGTGTCGTAGGTGATGTTGTACCAGTAACTTTTTGTGTAGATGATGTTGTACCAGTAACTTGTGTTGTAGGCGATGTTGTACCAGGAACTTGTGTTGTAGGCGATGTTATACCAGGAACTTGTGTTGTAGGCGATGTTGTACCAGTAACTTGTATTGTAGGTGATGTTGTACCAGGAACTTGTGGTGTTTGTGGTGGTAATTGGAACAATACAATCTACAATCTTGACATCTTGCTCACAGGTCGGACCTAAGAATCGATGTAAGCCAAAATTTTCCGTGAGTTAAACACTGTCGCTGCCATGACAGGTTGACATCTTGCCCAGTAAATGGAAACTGATTTTGATTGGCTTTAACACTGTGTTAAAAAATTCCAATAAGTCACATGAAACCATGGCCAACACTTAGTTTCTGGACAAAAGTTCAATATATCATGATCATGGTTTATCCATCCGCATGCAAATCTCTCATCATCTCACAAAATCTGAAAGAAAATGCAATTTCAGACATCAAATTCCGCATCTAGACCAAAAATTAGTCAAAACTAGTCATGCAAAAACCCGAAAAAAGGAGGAAGAAAGAGGATTTCTCAAAATAACACGTTTTATAGCCCGGTACATAAATAGGACAGTATGAGGCCTGGCAAATTTTCCTCATTGCGCATTGCAGGGCGTGGCCAGTTAAACTCCATTCATTAAACCCCATCAGGGCTGGGCTACTCATATGCTCTCGGGATTCTGTCTTCTATAACATCGCCCAACATCTTAGCAGAATCTTAGCAC